GGGGGGCGTTTACAAGAGCAAATACTGAATTTGTTCTGTGTGAGCATGGTGATATTTATTGGTGTTTTTGTTTCTTTAGTTTCAGATCAGACCTATGACTACAATGAAGACACACATTTGGACCTTGGCCAACAAACTGACACAGATGCAGAAAGACATTTATCAGATTCCCCTTTAACTACCTCCTCATCTAAAAGAGTCAAAATGGATGGAGATGGGGATGGAGCCCCCTCCTCTTTAGAAACGTCACCTAAAAGACAGAAAGGTAAGACGCTAGTGTTTCTTGGGCTATATGTTTCACCGTCATACTTACTCTGGTTCACATGTTGAATACTGGGTTTTGGGATAGGATAGGAGGCATCATTGTACTGTCGTCTGTGATATAACAGTAAGGCTTATTGCTGTTGCATGCAGAAGACATGAGTTCAATTCTGGTATGGGAGACGTATTTTTTTTTTAGCATCCGTCTATTGGGACTTTGTACCCCTCTCAATCTGGTTTGGCCGTAACAGACTGGGTCTAAGCAGACCATCTTTCACACAATCTAAATATTGTGTCAATGGATGTGAAAAGCATTTACAAATCTCAACTATGCATCATTGTCTTTTATACTGTTGAAAGGAGCTAATCGTTCTGCTTTTGATACATTGTGTTAGCAGAAAAAATAAATGATGGAATGATATAGAAGAAAACACACCAGTGTTTTTGTTTGTTTTCATTTCCTCTTCATAGGTCTGTTTTCCATGCTGCCCAGTAAGACCTGGAATCTAGAATTTGTATAGAGATGAAATATCTTTGCATCCAGTCACATTCTGATATGTTATCAGTGTGACAGATGTTATCTTGCTGTATGAGTGGCATGTGAGAGAGTAAGTAGTAGAGGTACTGGAGGTAGATTGTGCATCTTCTTTTTTTTCTTTTCTTTCGTCTTTTTTTCTGTCTTGAAGGGTGCTAGATGTGGGTGATGTATGTGAATGAGTAGGTGTTCAGGGGTACTGCTGGTAGATCGCGTTTAGTACTTTATTTTTTCCTCATATCTGTCTGGAATATTGCTAGATGTTGGTGGTGTTTGTCTTTAAAAGTTCTCAATGACTTCTGGAAACTTCTATTCTTGTACAGAATGAGATGTATTGTGTGAATTACGGCAGAGTGACCAAATCAACAGGGTAATTAAATTCTTGATCACTTTTAGATATTGATGGCGTCTGTATTGTCAGTTCCCAGTAAGGGTGGAAACTTGTGTGGAATGAGAATTAATGTGAAGTGATCAGCTCTCTTCCGGTGAGAAACACAAAGGTCAGGTTTGACTTTGAATGGAGATAAGACAACAAGTATACTAATACATTTCTGAATTTCGTAGGTGTCTGTATTAAAAGGTGCAATGACTATGGAGACTTGAATAGTTGTGTTTAGTGAGATTTATTTTATGGAATGAGAATTAACACAAAGTGACCAACAATTCTTGAGGTCAGCTGCAAGGCATAGGTCAAAGTGACTGGCAGCAGTACCATATTTTTTTACAGCAATACTGAGTTTGAACTGTTGTTTAGAGTAAGAGATTTGATAAACCTTTACTCCTTGACAGCGATAAGTCAATGTGGGATAAAAGTGAAGATATACTATTCTTATTTTCAAAGGCACAAACAGTTTGGTGAGTATCTCAAATGGTACAAGATGTTGATGGTGTTTTTATAAGAAGTTTCCAATGACTGAAAGCTGTCAAAACTTGTATGGAAGGAGAATTTACTCTTACAAGGTGTAGGCCTGTTCCTAATTTTATTGCTACAAGTTTAGTTGAAAATATGCAATGTTAGCCTTGTCAGCATAAAGAGATAAGTTTCAAGGTACCAGTTTATCTTGCTCGACAAAATTATATTGGCTGTATCAAGAGTTGCAATGACTATGGAAACTTGTATACATGTATGGTGTGCAATTGTGAGCGCTGTAAAACTTTTTATCAAACTAAATTAACAGCCCCCCCCC